AACTCGTATATGTTAACATAGAATGACATAACTGGTATATGCTAACATAGAATGACATAACTTGTATATGTTAACGTAGAATAACATAACTTGTATGTGTTAACATAGAATGACATAATCTATGTAACATATACAAGTTATGTCATTCTATGTTAGCATATACCAGTTATGTCATTCTATGTTAACATATACGAGTTGTGTCATTCTATGTTAACATATACGAGTTGTGTCATTCTATGTAACATATACCACTATATGTTACATAGAATGACACAACTCGTATATGTTAACATAGAATGACATACTAATTACTTCTGTAAAACACATTTATTATACCAAGATTGCGATGAAATTAATCGGTATCTCAAAATGAAGTTTTTATTTGTTATTTACAAGTTACAGTTTTACATTAATGAAGAATGTACTCTAAAAAATGTAACTTGTAAAACTTTACTCATAATCAGTATGTACCGGTTTTTGTTAGTTTGTTGTTAAGCACAAAGCTATACTGTGGGCTATCTTTGCTATGCCTACCACGGATATCGAAACCTGTTTTTTTTAGCGTTATAAACCCTCAGAGTTACCAATGAACCACCAGGGTGAGGGTAGGGGCTAAAAAAAAAAACAGGCTGTACTTTTTGAACGGTTTAGGTATATCGCTTTAAATTTAGTGTTGGGTGAAAAATATTTCCACACAATATGCAATTCGAGTGTCGCCATTTTTAGTGACGTCGTCAGATCTTTTAGTAATTTATTGTTTTAAAAGTTTTGATTATCGTAATGTTTAAATATCATATAACATGGGACTCCCATGATGGGAGGTCCTGGGAAGAAGTGATGATTTTGGAAGTTTCCATAGATGCTGCCCCCCCCCCCCGTGGCTCAACGGCAAGTCTTAGGGCTTAAAACGCTAAAAATCGAGTTTCAATACTCGCGATGGACAGAGCAGAGATAGTTCCTTGTGCAGCTTTATGCTTAACAACAAACAAACAAACAAACTTTCAGAGATTTAGGTTCTCGTGGTAGTAAGTAGATGGGAACTGTAATTAGTGAAAGTAATTCGATGGTCATAAGTGACGTCATGAAATTCCATAGGAACGATTTAAATTTACAAATATATTAAACTTTCACACCACTTCAATGTGACTTGTTAAAAATAAGCTTGTTTCGATTTTGTATTTGTCAAAATTTCAAAGAATCTGTATGAGCCTACAGCTGGAACTAAGCCATCCAGTGGTTTTAGCATTAACATGTCAGTCTGCACATGTGGGGTTCTAGAATTCGCGACCCATTACCCCCACCCCTAAAGAAAAACAATCGCCTTTCACACTTTGGGGCTCTTGATGCGTCATAAGAGTGACAATGCCAAATATCATGAACCATGATGGTTCGTAATAGGGATCGCAAGGAATTGCACAAAACCTAATAGAACGTTCGAGCAAAAAACACCTTAAACAGTAAAGATTCAACTCAAACAACACTTTAAGATCCCTACTATTGACTGATAAGACTGTACACATAAAAATGCACAAAAAGTACTCATGTTAGCTTACAAGGAAAAGAAGAGCCCCTCAAAGTGGCTCGTTTTATAATTCTCATTATTATTCTCTTGCCAACCTTCAACAAAAACGGCTTGGTACATTGCACCCATATCTTTTGTGGAATACTAAATAAGGTATTGCGAAGGTGTTAGGGGTATTAATAAGTCTATTTATTTCTTCTAGTTACACAGAAACTATAAATGCTCACTGTATTCTCAAACAAATGTCCATGATAATCTCCAGCTGTAGCTTAACATTTTACATCTCGAACTAATGCGATCAAATAGTCAATAGATACAGTAAATCATCATGCACCGTAACAGTTAGCTACTAGCTACTATTATGATATATAAAGTTAGCTACCATATCAAGTGATCCTTTGCCCATAGTTGAGCATTAAAAAAAAAGCCAAAAAACAAAACAAATAAAAAATTGGGAAATTAAAAACCCTGCAAATAGGGATAATAAAAAAGTAAAGACTGGAGATACTTTAGACATTATTTACACAAACTACAAATCCATATTTTGACTCCACCAGATGTAGTTATAGGTAACAGCATGGAGCCAAAACAGGGGTTTGTACTTTGAGTAAATAATGTCTACAGTATCTCCAGTCTTGTTTGCTTACTTTTTGTTATGATGCCTATTTGCAGATTTTTAGATTCCCAATTTTTTATTTACCTTGTCACTATTAGATTAGAGTAGTCAAAGGGTTGTTTATGTTGGTGGTGTTCACATTTAGGGACAGCTTGCACAGACAGCCCTCAAGTAGCTTTATGTGAAATGCAACAAACAAACATTCTCAAACTACATCACTGTACCATTCTCAAGCTACATCACTATCATTCTCAAGCTACATCACTGTATAATTCTCAAGCTACATCGTTGTATGTTATTATTATTACTGTTGTTGTTGTTATTATTACTTACGCAGATAAAATATGGCTATGTCATGGACACCAGAATGGATCTCAGTTGTCAAAAGTTACCTGTAATGAGAGTGTAATGTACCGCCTGAACATTGAGGTGAGTGCCATCTAGTGTTTTATTTTGTTTTAATCAGTTAACCACTAAATGTATATGTATAAAATTCTGCGATGTTCTAGCAACGAAATAAAATTAACTATACAACCTGAGCTTTTCAGTGTTTAGTCTCTTGTATTTTGAATGAGAGTAAATAATGTGTAACTTAATAGCTTACACTGTGAATAATATGTAACTTAATAACTTACACTGCGAATAATGTGTAACTTAATAACTTACACTGTAAATAATGTGTAACTTAATAACTTACACTGTAAATAATGTGTAACTTAAGAACTTACACTGTAAATAATATGTGACTTAATAACTTACATTGTGAATAATGTGTAACTTAATAACTTACACTGCGAATAATGTGTAACTTAATAACTTACACTGTAAATAATGTGTAACTTAATAACTTACACTGTAAATAATGTGTAATTTAATACCTTATACTGTAAATAATGTGTAACTTAATAACTTACACTGTAAATAATATGTAACTTAATAACTTACACTGTAAATAATGTGTAATTTAATAACTTACACTGTAAATAATGTGTAATTTAATAACTTATACTGTGAATAATGTGTAATTTAATAACTTACTCTGTAAATAATGTGTGATTTAATAACTTATACTGAACCAAAAATAAATTAAGTAAATGAAACTGTTCCACGTTAGAAATAACTGTAATGATAACATTTAACATTACTAATTTTACTAGTTGCCTTACTAAAGAAGCCTGAATGAAACTAATATATATATAGCAGTGGTTTGTAAACTGTGTGTCGCGAGACTTTCCTCAAATAAAGAATCATTAAAAACATACATTACAAAAAATAAAATAAAAAATACCGCATGTGGCAGCAGGGGTGTCGCGTAAATCAAAGTAAGTGGGTTAGGGTGTCGTCATTGAAAAATGTTTGGAAACCACTGATATATAGAGATGGGCGGTACATTTATAAATAAAGCCAGTACATCATGACTGTATTTTTGTTTGTTTTTAGGCTTAAACTTATAATGATTTTTTTGTGTGTATTATCCTGAGGTGTCTTGTGTTTGATCTACTTCTTTGTAGTTTGATACCCGTGTGATGTGTATGTACGCTCTAGATGACGATACTATGTTGCTGGGGTCACTCTCCCACTTTGTTTACACTTACAACACCAAATCTCGGTAAGCATTCTAGTATGATGTTTCAACACTAGATGGCGATAAGGAACTTTATTTTTTCTGACACAAATATAATTAAATAATCATTAGTTTTTAAAATATTATTTTGTAATAGTGGCTGCCATTAAATTGTATTGAGAGTACTTTCTTAACAACAGATTGATCATTTTAATTCTGTGATTTGAAAATGCGTTATAATAAAACAAATAAGAAAAACACAACGTTCTGGATTAGGTTTATACGGTTTTATTTCGTTGTGAATTGTGTGGCCAGGTTCAATTTAATTAAATATTTCTCTAAAAATTCTGTAATTTTTTTATATTTTTCTGACGGGCTTTTGATAAGCTAGTATTTTCTTTTTATTATTTAAATTTCGTTAAGAGTATTTGCCAAATCTGAAAACCACGAAGAAAAGTTGTATATCTTTTAAAACTTTATTGTTCGTTTTGAAGTTAAGCACAAAGCTACACAGTGGGCTATCTGTGCTCTGCCCACAACGCGGATCGAAACCCGGTTTCTAGCGTTGTAAGTCCGTCGACATACCGCTGTGCCATTGGGAGGCTAAAAGTTTATTAAAACCTTTTCGAATTTCATTGGCTTTTCATCATTAGATGATCTAATTCTAAAGTATTTTAAAATTATTACAATAGCAAATAACAGAGTAAAATAAATATGCTTTAGGTAAATTCAATAAACAGTACACCTTTACAGGAGTCGATTTCACAACTCTTTGCATTTCTTCTATGCATTTTTTATTACATAATTTGTTATATTAAGATTCAAGTGTATCAAAGAATGCCCTCTATCGGTACAGCACAGAAAGTATATAATTATATTTTAAATCATAATTGCCCACAAACGTAAGAAGAGAGTAAAATTTATTTACCATAATTCTAATAGTTATTTTTTCCACACCTCATGTACCACGTTTCGTCAATTCATTATTCCTTTTTAAATTATTAGTAAGTACAGTTAAGAAAGAGAGATGGCGCTAACGTCTACAATATTAAATCGGTGTAATCGACCTTTAGCAACCATTGTATGGAAATACAACAGATGTTACTTATAACTTATTATCCTTTTCAGTGGTAAAAAAAAAGAACCATGTAGTTAAAAATACATTTACTTGTTGCAAATATAGGAAAGCGTGATTAGTTTGAAAGAAATTATTCATCTGGCATCTGAAAGAAGATATGGATGTCTTTTATTTTCTGAAAGACAAGAAAATATAAGTCTGTAGAAGTTGAAATGAAAAAAATTCAGAATTGACGTTTTCAAACTTATAGCTAAACATTGTTACGTTTGATGGAATTTTGTTTTCGGTTTGCTAGAAATAATATTTTTTTCTCCAATCTCAACATAGTTTACACTTTACTTTCAGTAAGCTGATTTGGGAAATCCGTTTAAACGACTCGGTGTTAAGCCTGTGCTCCCACGACGAGGACGGCATAAAGAAAGTATACGCTGGGTTAGCTGATGGAACTCTAGCGGTAATTGAGGTAAGCACTTAAGATACAAGTCAGAAGATGGGTCTAGCATGGAGTGGTGGTTAGGGCACTCGACTCGCAATATGCGCGTAGCGAGTTCGAACAGTCGCCCTTCTAGGTCGCGAAGACGTTATTAGTTTATGGTCAATCCCACTATTCGTTGGTAAAGAATAGCCGAAGAACTGCCTTCACTTTAATATATCATTTCTAAATAAGGGACGGCTTAACGCAGATAGCTCTCGTGCAGCTTTGAACGATATTCAAACAAACTGAGAACAATAAAGGGCTTGGCGGTAAGTCTGCAGGCTTACAATGCTATAATTTGGGTTTCGATACCTCTAGTAAGAACATATTTTTATAAACTTACAATTTTGAATCGAGGGTCTTTTTTTTATACCAGATTCGTGCACTTCTACTAACAACGCTATATTTTGTCATATTTTATCCCTTTAGAGAATAATGTACCATCCCTATGATTACACCGATATTTATTTTCTTGTTAAAATGAAAATCCAGTACAAGTAAAGCTGGATGAGACTTGATATTTTATCGAAGTCAGCTGGGAGGTGGCAAAGTTATTAGGGTGGAGGCGGAGGTTTCAATGAAACTACTTTCTTTAACGTTTTTTCCCCGCTTTCCACATCTATAACTAGTACAAAAAAAAAAAGACAACATGAGACTGTTATTTCCATTAACTCTTTCTTAGTCCCCCGGTGAGTCAGCAGTAAGTTTACGAACTTATAACGCTAATATCCAGGAATTCCATTTTCTACTGTGGACAGATGATCCATTGCGTTAAATAGTAAACGAGACGAATTAACGTCCTCTGGAGAAGAAATGGTTAAATCAATGTGACCAACAGCTTATTCCGTGCGAGCACGACAAACAGAAGTAAAACAAAAACAAAAGAACAAGAGGGAATTCTCAATAGCCACGACACTTGAAATTCTTGAAGGCAAGATTATAGTAAATTATTTTACGAAACCCTTTTTCCCCCTTTTATTAGCTATATTTTTGTGCGTGTATACCCGATTAGATTTTATTACTCATCAGAATCTCGACCAGCCTACCTTCAAATTCTTTTAGGCAGGATGGATTAGAGTAACTTAATCTATGAGATTTTGGACTTGGTCAAATATATTAATCTAAAGGTTTGACCTCTTGAGTCCAAATCTGTAACCAGATCTCAAATCGGTAAAGAGATGACGGAGCTATGAGCTAAAAGTCTGTACTTGCAAAACTCAGAGCCATTCTATGAGCCGATTTGCCGCGGCTAAAAACTTTGTTTTCTATTTTCTTAAACCATAAGTAAAAGATTTATTTGTTTGTTTTCGTTATTCAACACAAAGCTACCTAAAAGGGATATATCTGTGCTCAGCAGGAGTATCGAAATCCGATTTTTTAGCCTTATAATTAGGCCTAACGGTAAAATATTAGGCCTTAGACTTATTAGGCCTAACGGTAAAATATTCTGAAGAAGAGTACTTTTTTTTTCGATAACAAGGAGTGAAATAATATTTTTAATGAATTCCCAGATTCTTCAAACACAAATAAAAACTGTTGTGCACAAAATTTTTAATCAGGTGCTTTAACTGTAATCTCCATGCTTCACAGTTTGTGTCGTCAGTCCCGCTTTTGTCGACAGTCGAAATTAGAAAGGCTCATTTGTTTAAAAAGTTAAAAGGTTTGAGTAGTATTTTAAATATAATTTTTCGTAGTTTGGACACATGCCTATCATACATGGTGATGGTATCGAACTTTAATTTTTTTTGTCTTTTACATGTTGACGACGGTACATTTCTCAATGCTCCCCCCCCCCAGTGGCACAGCGGTATGTCTGCGGACTTACAACGCTTGAATCCGGGTTTCGATACCCGTGGTGGGCAGAGCACAGATAGCCCATTGTGTAGCTTTGTGCTTAATTTCAAATAAACAAACAAATCGTGTCGTGGGTAAAATGTAGATTGTGCAGCTGTAGGCTTAACAACAAACAAAACAAAACTATTCGATAACTTGACGTTATCTGAATATTAGTAAGATTTGTTTAGTGGATTCCGATAGGACTTCCATTTGAAAACTTAATAGGAATTTATTTGGAAACTTACTCGTGTAGAAGAAGTGAATTATTTGAATTAATGAGATCTTTGTTAAATGGTCTTTTGGTGAGACGAGTACAAAAGTCTGCCATTTTTTCTTCTTCCCTTTAGACAACGTAACCTAACAAGGCGTAACGTGAGAGTAATAAAAATAAACACATATTAACGACTTTAAAATCCAAATCATCACTGAAAATCAATTTGCAGCAGAAAAAAAAATTATGCTTTTTTTTTCTTCTTCTGTGATTGTATTAATTTCCAAAGTAACAACTATAATAATGTTGCGTTATCGAGATCACTTGACTATTCTCACGCCCTCCACTTTCTAGAACTATCCTGTACTTTGGCGAATGCTCTAGCATTTACTAGATATAGGGTAGTCTGGTATATAAAAGAGGGTGACAACGTGACGGTAAGGTAATGTGTGTGTGTTGATAGTGAGTAATTGAACTGCAGTCAGAAGTATTGTTGACGTTCGTTGATATAGCGTTTGTTATAGAGCGATTGTTGAAAATAAGTGTATCGTAAAGTTGTATTCGGAAAGAATAAACCAGTTTTTTTAAGTAAGGACTTGTGTCGCTAAAGTTTCGTCGGCACGAAGTTACGGAAAGTTAATTAACAAACGGAGACGTAACAATAATATAACTAGAGAGTAAAATAAAGGAGTTACAAACTTTGTCGATCATGATAAATACTGAACCAACATTGTCTTTGGAACATAAATTCGGATAGATGTTACTATTATTTTCGACAGTTAAAAGAACTAGATGTTTTGTGTTTACGACAGGAAAACAGCAACAACACGTTTTTCATTTAAGTTCATCCCCATTTTGACATTTGTATTTAGAAAAAGGAGGAACCGAAAATAAGGTGTTAACTGATGATCATTCTGTCATTTTAACAATTGTTTATATCTTCACCACATCCTGCCATCAGCTGTCTACATCTTACAATTCCTGTCATTTGATATGATCCGTCTTAACTACATCCTGTCTCCATCATACATATTGTCATTTGATATGACCCTTCTTAACTACATCTCGTCTCTATCATGCACTTTTTCATATGATATATTAAAGTGTGTGTTTCTGATACATATATTAGTTTAAATAATATTTAAAAGTTATCAGCGTGTAAAAACTTATTTGATTATGTATTTATTTTACGACCAAAAGTGTTTACATCTGTAATATCTATTTTATTTATTTTGCATCATATATAGATTTTAAAAAAATGTAATATATCATGCTATGTTTTTATTTAGAATATTCAGGGAATATCCCCGCAGCCAGAAAGTTTCTACATCATGATTGGACCGAGTCCCGTGACGTGTCTTCAGCGCGTGGCAACACGACTGTGGTGCGCGAGCGGAAACAGAGTGATAATTCTGAATGTGAGGTCAGTTACCATTTAGTTTCTTCAGTTATGTCAACACGATAGTATCTAGTTTAATTTCAAAATGTTACAGTCTTTATTGCTTTAAAATTGAGTTAGTGCAGAAATTTCGTTAGTTTCACTGTGCTAACAATCACCTTTTGCTTTTTTTACTTAAGTGTCTTCTAGTCTTTGCGCAAAACTTATTTCAGTTGCAATTAACGAAACTGGGGTTGAGATAGGCCTGAGGTGGGAGTAAACCCATTGTCGATCATTCTAGAAATCTCAGTTTGTTCAACCAATCGCAAGACATTTTACAGACGACTGCGAGCCTCCGATTTTCTTTAGGATAAATTATGTAAAATGTTCGATTTGAGCTAAGCGTAGGTTAGGCTTAACTTATGTTTGTACTGTCTTTTCAGTGCTGAGCTTAGGTTGGGCTAAACTTATGTCTATACTGTCTTCAGTGCTGAGCTTAACTTATGTCTATACTGTCTCTTCATTGCTGAGCTTAGGTTAGGCTTAACTTATGTTTGTACTGTCTTTTCAGTGCTGAGCTTAGGTTGGGCTAAACTTATGTCTATACTGTCTTCAGTGCTGAGCTTAACTTATGTCTATACTGTCTCTTCATTGCTGACCTTAGGTTAGGCTTAATTTATATCTATACTGTCTTTTCAGTGATGAGCTTAGGTTGGGCTAAACTTATGTCTATATTGTCTCTTCAGTGCTGAGCTTAGGTTAGGCTTAATTTATATCTATATTGTCTTTTCAGTTGTTTTTTAAGAGCCATCACAATTACTCGGATAAGCAGTTTGAAATTGTTTAAACATGTATTCGAAGCCCTTGTTTTATTTTGTACCCAGTGCATTCTTATTCATGCCGTCGCAAATGTCAAACGTCGAAATCCGCTGGCTTGGCCCTAACACATACGGCAAATAGTAGATACGAAAGTTTAGAATATAGCAAACAAAAAATACATAAACAGAGCATGCGTGAGAGTTTACTTCCTGTCTTATTTCTCATGTTAATATGTCCGCTCGTCTTAATTAGACCTCGAGTTTCGTTCAGAAAGAAAGAGAACTGATTTAATAATCTATTCGCCGCTTGATGCACGAATGAATAATCGAAACACAAAAGAAAACACAGGTTTAATTAATCACGTGGTCTATGTCAGCTTCACAACGTGACATCGACAGTTTTAAATATGCAGAAAAGGTCAGTTTGGACTGAAGAACTACCGGGCGATACAAAAAGTGAAGTTTAGTCATTTATCTATACCAGCGTTTCTCAAACTTATGTTCCGTCCGAGATTGATAGGTACTCCGTGAGAAAATCATGATTTTAAATTTTAATAAAATATTTAACACTTTTTTGTACGATCATAACTTATTATGAAATTTTACCCTACGTATTAGAATTAGATAATATAGATTTCACATTGAAGAAGAATTATAGAAGATGCCATATCTATTCTACATAATATCTTAGTGGAGACGTTTGTACCTAAAATATATTATAAGCATAAAAATGTAACAATTCATTAATGTGTAATTTGATTAAATAAATAATATACAAATCTAGAGGGCGCTGCGCGCGCACATGCCCTCTACAACCAACAATATTTCACGTGTCTAGTGTTCCCTAAGCTTTTTCTCAGCTGAAAAGTGTTTCGTGGCCAAAAAAAGTTTGGGAAATGCTGATCTATATATATACCCCCTTTAAAATCAAGAAATTAAATCTTTATACAATATTAAATTTGTAACTATAAAATATGTTTTAATGTCAAGCTTATTTTTATACAGGAATCTAATTACATTTGGAAAGTAACTCTATTAAAGGTCATGACATGCTAGTGGCGTAGGAAGCGGGGGTCACCCACTTTTAAATGTGTCCCAGTAAAAATGCATCGAAATTAGGAAAATTACTCTCAGGAAAAGCAGGAGAATGCATAAAATTTAATCCAGAACACTAAGGCTAGCCCTGGACCCCGCCCGTAATGGATGCGCCAGTGACACACATTCATCTCGCTTCGCTCGGTGAAATAAACCTTGCCCCTCACTTTTAATTTTCCTCCTACACCTTTGCGTGCACACTTTGGTCTCGCGCGCAAAAGTTGTGATAAAAGATTGTTCATTTCAGTTACTATAGTAAATGACCTCTTCTTGTGTCCTCTTGAGGTTATTTGACCACGTCACAGGTGAGTGTTAGGAGCTGGTGAATAGTGTGGGGGAGGGGTGCGAAAAAACTGTTAATTGTTCCATCATTTGATTCCTTCTGTGAAGTTGTCTGTGGCTTTGTATTAGAAAATGGGATCTAGGATCTACCAGCGTTATTATTTTTCTTTTTTATAGAATCTACTGACTCACCTTTGGATGTTACGTCGCAAATATGAATGTTTTATTAGAGACCGTGTAGCGTGTATGTATGTATATATGTATATTGCCCAAAATAGGTGAGATTTGGTTTATCTAAGTCATTATTGTGAACACAAAAAGTCTTTGTGTTCACTTTTAACTGGCTAACCGCTTGTCGCCAGACATTTACCCTAAGCTCCCCTGGGGTGAGTGACATTGGGGGCTGGCATTCGAATATGACCACCCAATGTCACCATTGGGGGGGGGGCATTATGTCCCCTTCGTGCATTGAACGGAAACATTACACAGTTTTTTTTGTTTTTCAAATGGTATCAGTGTTTAATGTACCAACGTTTGTTTTTTTTTGTAAGTTGAAACGTAATCAATCAAATGGTTTACTTTTCAGGACGTTAGACGTCGTGGATCAGTTTCATATATCAACCAGCGTGTTGGACTATATTTCTATGCTGGTGCTGGGGGAACATGGTGTGTGGGTAGCGATCAGAGGATCCCCACTCCTCCAACTGTGGGACTTGAACTCCTTAACGTGCAGACTTCTTTACGACGTCAGAGAGAACAGATACCCTAAGACCCTCAGAAAAGTAAGTTGTATTGAGAAATCGGAGGCAAATTACCCTTCTATTATCGAGATGTCTATTAAATCACTTTTATGTTATTTCAGAGATTATTTATAATCGGTGGTAACTTTGTTGCTGCTGTTCTCGTTGTTATATTGATGTGTGAGCGGATTTTTAGAATAATAAATCA